AAAACCGCAGTATATTTTTATATCTGTAATTATTAGCGATAAACATCAGTTCGATTAATATTGTATAATAATTTTTAGAATGTGCATGATTCATTTTGGTTGTATACATACATGCTGCCTACGATATAAAAAGTAATTAGCAATTGATATCTTCAAATACGTTATAAAACTACTTGAGAAGTTTAATAATGATGCAATAATAAATGAGAGACAGACGATGTATGTGTTTTTTCCGTGAAAATTGAAGTATTGCTTTATTTATTCCTCGCAAAATTAATCAACAACACTTTACCTGCCTACTAACAGGTTTGTTTTGCCTAAATGACAATAGACACATAAAGTATTGATATTAATATTATTATTTAAGGAATACTCCTTATTCAATTCAAAAGGGGGAGTCAGTGCAGCCATGTTCGTAGTATGCGCAATAGATCTATGCGCCATCTATGATTGCGTAGATCGTGGATCAACATCAGCTCGAGAAACAAGCACGTGAGAGCATAGCATGCTAATCTCTAGCGACTAGTTTAAACTTTATTTTCACTGATGTACTAAAATATTTGTATTAAAGTGATCAAGAAATTAAAAGATAAAGATGAAAGGACCCTATAAGGTATAGCAATTTAAATCAAATTCTATAAGACCGTTTAATCAAACACTGTATAACCTTAAATCATATGATTATCATACAAACAATGTGTATTTTAGCCAAACATTAGTGCATTGATGAGTGATTCTAATGATGGTTCTGGAACTGAAAGTGATAACTATTCTAATGATGAAACCGATAAAATTGAAGAAGATTATCAGGAAGCACTAGAAGATAAAGGAGACGAAATACAAGAGGATAGCATACAAGAAGTTACACGTATAACATCTGAGAAGAAAAGGAAAAAAGTCACTGATGATGTTACAGATGTTATTCCAGGAAAAAAAAAGAAATTACACAAGGAACTTTATAAACAGCCAACAGTTGAGGAATTAAATCAACTTAGAGAAACAGAAAATTTATTTCATTCTAACTTATTTAGATTGCAAATAGAGGAAATGTTAAATGAAGTTAGAATTAAAGACAAGTACAAACGTCTGTTTGAGGCTTGGTTCAAGCAATTCGAAAAGACTGTAAATTCAATAAAAGAAACGGAGGAATATGAGGTATATACGTATATTCACTTAAAACGTTAAGGGTTTATACTATTGTAATAGAGTATAACGAGAGACTGGAGTTTTTTTAATTTTTGGTAATTTAACAGAATAATATACCATAATAATATATCATATTTCAGCTTTCAGATAGAACATTAAAAAAAGAATTGAAAGTTCACATTCCTAAACTCAATATTCGAAATAAAACAAAAGCAGTATTTAAATTTTTGAAGCCATCTCAAATAGCTGTGATAGGGTCTTATGGATACAATGCTATAGTTGGTCCAAACATTACTGTGGATGTGATGATTGAAATGCCTGCAAAGATGTTTAGAAAACTGGACTATAAGAACTATACATATATAAAGAAGAAAGCAATATATCTAGCATACATAGCATCTAACATTACTGATGATATCGCTGAAGAGAGAAAGTTTGTTGGAGATCATTTGAGACCAATCTTAAAGATTGTACCTACTGGAAAACTAGGTACAAAAATTAATGTACTAGTGCACATAACGGCCCAAGAAGAGAGTTTTAAATTAAATAGATTTCAGGCAGAAAAAAATGGTGTCAGACCCAAGTTCTTCTCAGTTAAAGCAGCAAATGGTATACCATAAAACATTTTTTTCTTTATAACTTGTTCTCTTTATACTATTTATAAATATGATTATGTTTGCAGAATGTTTACCACCAACTCCACATTATAATTCTATAATTCTTCGTGACTTAGTAGCCTCAAGAACAAACTCAAAAATTTTAAATATAATTAAAGAATATCCAAATCTGAGAGATGGTATTATGTTACTAAAAATATGGCTAACACAACGTGAATTGACAAAAGGTTACGAGGGCTTCAGTGGACACATTATGACAATGTTTGTTCTGTATTTATTATCTATTCAGAAGTTAAATACTTTTATGAGTAGTTATCAAATAGTCAGAAACGTGTGGCATCAATTAGGTAAAATATTATATAGCTAAACATGAATATATGGATATATGATGTATATTAATGCTAATATCGTTTAATTTATTAGGTCAAGTCAGTTGGCATGAAAGTGGAATAACAATGAGTCAAGACGAAGATAGTAGGGACAGAGTTTCAATTTATAAAAATTATTACGACTGTGTTTTCCTAGATAGTACTGGTTATTATAACATTGCATCATATTTATCCAAAAGCACTTTTTCTTGGATTCAAAGAGAAGCAGAGCTATGCTTGCATCACTTGGATAGTGCACATGTGGATAGTTTTCAATCACTTTTCATGAGAAAAGTGTCGTTTTACAAAGCATTTGATCATGTTATACGGTAATAATCAACCACCAAACTTGTTTAAATTGTAACAGTATTTGCGGTATCGTAATATTAATTAAATTTCCAGTCTCAAGGGTATTAAAAAAAATGGTGTATTCGAAATTCTGAAATCTGTGCCAAGAAGCAATGACGACTTGGATTACGGACCTAATTATCGTAGTCGAGTAATTAAAATAATTTATAACGTGCTAAAACAAGGATTAACCAATAGAGTACAGTACATATGTGTGTTACCAGAAGACTTTACAGAATGGGAATGTACAAAAAAGAGATCAAATTACATTGGAGACATTTTTATTGGACTGGAATTAAATCCAGAATTTTGTTTCAATGTAGTGGATAAAGGGCCTGAAGCTAATTTACCGGAAGTGAGTGAATACATAAAACTGGGCAATGATTTGTATCAATAGTTTTGCATCAAATGTCTCATGTATTTTAGGCAGCAGAATTCAGGAAATTCTGGGGAACAAACTCGGAATTACGTCGATTTAAAGATGGATCTATTCAGGAAGCAGTAGTTTGGGCAAGCGGCAAATCCATGTATGGAAAGAGAATAATATGTAGGAAAATTGCAATTTTTTTACTGTTGAAAAAGCTTCATATGAAGAATGGGGATTTTACGTATATTGCCCATGAAATGGAAGAGGTTCTACAGTTAGAAAAGGTAATTACAATCATTCATTTGCCTTCAGTTTTTGTATTAATAGAAAATTATTTTATAAAAATTAGGTTCACTTGTCGCATTTCTTGTATGGTACTGGTGAAGGTGCTTCATTGAAAGTGATAAACGCTTTCAATAACCTTGAAAAACAACTAATGGATCTAACTGATATTCCTTTATCAATCCACGGAGTTCAAGGAGCTAGTGCAGTTTTTCGATATACGGATGTTTTTCCACCAATCGCAACAGTTCATAAACCCGACAATAAGCTTAGTAAGGAAAGCAAAAATTGTTTAATACTGTCAGATAATATAACTAATGCTCCCAAATACGTTACTCCACTCGATGTGTGCCTGCAATTATCTCTGAGTGGCAAGTGGCCAGACGAATTGGAAGCTTTCAGAAAAACAAAGGCTGCTTTTTACATACAAATTGCAGAATGTCTTAGGAAGCAGAATACGTTAGTAGCAAATGCAAACTACTCGCATCTCGATGTGTATAAGGTATCTGCTCTTAATTATTTATTACATAATTTTTAAATAATGCTACTAAAATATATTGATATGTTCACAGGAAGGATTTGTCTTCCGTTTGAGGATAGCGCACCAAAAGGAAATTAGTTGTGTCAAGCAACAAATAACAGAAGATGGTATTAAACAGTATATAGACAACGATGAGTCAATCGAGTTAGAAAGTAAATTATTTGAATTACCGAAGCTAACTAGTGCCTTACACGGGTAAAGATAAATTATCACAAAAATGGAAACTTTTTATAACACTGGAAGTAAATTTCACTTACATCGCAGATTACATGTTCAACAACCTTCGTTTGGAACGGCTTGTTGTATAACGAAACGGTGGCTCTCTGCTCAATTATTGGATGATTCTCACATACCAGATGTTGTGGTTGAATTACTGGTAGCTTCAATGTATTTAACACCAGCTCCGTACAGACCTCCTCAACTTCCTCAGGTGGCATTCCTAAGGATGTTAGAAATTTTTGCCAGAGGACATTGGACTACAGATCCTGTGATTGTTAATTTTAACAATGAAATGACCAGTGAGTAATAATAGTAGTATTGGTAGCTTACTGTTTTTAATGTACTATAAATAATTGTAGAGGAAGAAATTGTAGCAGTGGAAACTTTGTTTGGCTCATCTCGTAAATCCTTACCGCCTTTATTTATATCTACCCCCTATGATCAGCAAAAATCATTATGGACCAAGAAAGCACCAACCATTCTGGTTTTAAATCGTATCACAGCTTTGGCAAGGCAATCTTTAAAATTATATGAAGGTCAAATTTGTACGAAAGTTTTCTTAGATGTGAAGCCTTTATTTAGGCCAGCACTCACAGAATATGACTGTTTAATACACTTGAAGCCAGTTATGGTTCCCAGAAGAAGACAAGCAATTGATGTCAGCGAATATTCTCTCTTTGATGTGCATCCTTATAAGTATCATACTGCACAAAAGATACCGATCGTAGACTTCGATCCTGTACAATTTTTCTTGAAGGAATTGAGGGTAAGTGCAAATTTTAATTGTATACATTGCATGCTAATATCCTTACAGTTCCTTATCTAAATACAAATTTTTTTTCAATAGAACGGATATGATGAATTTGCATTATTCTTTCATGATACTTACGGCGGTACAGTAATAGGAGTATTATTTAAACCGTCTGCTTTAGAAAGTAAAGACTTCAAAGTAACAAATGTTAGTTGTTGCAAGCTCAACGACGATGATCAGCTGCTTTTAAATGTCTCGGCAATGGTTCAAGACTTTTATATTCTCGGAAAAGATTTGATAGAATCCATTAATGTGCAATCGAAGAGGTTTTCCTTGGAATGATGATTTTTCCGAGAAATCTTAGGTTTCATTTTATATTAATGAAATTGAATTGTAATATAAATACCTATTTGAAAGTTGATATTTATATTGTACAAAGAGCAATGTTGTTTGAAGTGTATATGACGTAATAAATTTTTGTACATTATTTGTTTTCGAATTTATTTTATAAATTCTGTTATTATAATACTCACTATAGTTTCTTCAAGTAAGGCATATATAAACGGAATTTCTTAACATGTAAACCAAACCATAAAGATATTCAATATATTTAGTTTAATAAATATACAGCATATGCATATACTATAAAATATTTTATATAATATGCTATTTTACTGTCTCGTAAATCATTTTTACAAAAAATATATAAAACAATAATTTACACAACGATGCATTTCTTATCGTTAATGCATGTAGTTTGTGTTACTTCATCATTAAGGACCTTATTTCATTGTTTAATTTTATAATAATTGCATCCTCGTGTGTATAGCTATTAGTTTTTAAAAGAAAGTTACGTTCTTCTATTAGGGCTTGCAATCGTTCCTGATTTTCTTCTGATCTTTTTGAAATTTGTTTACTTTCATTTTGGTTTATTTTTGAACCTACGATCGTCGGTGTGTAGACTTGACAATATGGATCGTTTTCTAAGAAGGGTGGTTTTTGTTTAATCACATCAATTTCCTTTTGAATTTCATTCAGTATAGTTTGATCATCGGTCAAAGCAGTAGAGTCCGTGTGCAATATGTCTTCTAAACTGTTTAAAAAAGATAATAAGTATAATGATTCCTATTTCGTAGCTATTCTTCTATACCTAATTGTACATACTTTATGTTTTCCAGTTCCTCTTTACTATTTTTTATTTGAACTTTTATGGTTTGTTGATATTCTTTCTTCATTCTATGCATTTCACGAACTGCTGTTGCATATTTTTCTTTAAAGAATAATTTACTCTCTTGCGTTGTTTGTAACTTTTCTTCAAGCCCCTTTAATTCTTGCAACAAAGTTGCTGTTTGATCCTGAGTTAAGGATCCTTTCTGATAAGCTTCTAATTCTTCTGTCTGTTTCGCAAGGAGTGACTGCAACTTTCCATTATCTGTACTCAATTGATCAACTTGCGTTTCTAAAATAGTTTTCTTCTTTTCAAGTGCAGTGACCTAGGATGTAATAAAATTGTACAATTTTTAATAACTAAGTTCCCTTGTGTAACTGACCTTTGCCATATGTTCTTCTTGCATCGAATGGTATGATTCTCTGAGTTCTCGCAATTTCGTCTCGTATGACCACTGCAGTTCTTCGTTTGCTTTAATTAATCTGGCTTCTTTTTCAAGACTCTTTAATCTTCGCGATCTTAAGTCTTCTGTAGCATTGTTCAGACTATTTGCTAACATTTTACACTGCTCGACGCTACACGCAAGTTTCCCTTCCAAACTTTCTCTATGCTTTTGCCATTCTTGACTTAATAAATTTAAATGACGATCCTCTTTCCTTTTCAACTAAATTACAAAAACTCTTCTTATAATATATACTCCTTGTAAATATACTTAAACTAAGATTATATTTTACCTCAACTTTAAATATCTCCTTTTGTCGTTCTTTCCACGTTTCCAACTCGTCAACTATTTTGTATGCTAAACTATCATCTAAAATCGGTGGTCCTAAGTTTTCATCTAAATTAAATAGATCAGAGTTTAATAAATAGTTCTGGTATATATTATATTCTAATTCATTTGTATTTTAACTTACTAGGTATTTTCTTTTTAAGCCTATAATATGGACCATGGTCCTCTAATGTCATGGCAACATATAAGTTACCAACAACAGTCTGTTCGGTGTCATACAAAGGTGTTTCACAGTGACATTCAAACTGTAAAATATATGCATAATTTCAGTCTTCATCTGGATCCATTTATAAAATATTCTACTCTCATGCATTACCTTATTTTGATGAAATAGTTGTTTTACATCAATTGTACATTGAAACATACAAGTTTTAGAAGTTTCGTCTATTTTATATATACTGATTTTTGGTGGAAATGTCAGCAATAAATGTTTAATTTCATCAGTTGCTGATATAAAATGTAATTTACATTTTGTATCTTGTAACTTTACTTTTTCTCCTAATACAAGTGAAACATTGGGATGAAAAGTGGATGTGACCTCAGTCTTTGGATGATGAAACCTACATTATTAAATTGTTTTATTAGATTAAATAAATAAACTGATTATTTATTCCTGTTGCAAAATACATACCGAATTTCAATATTTGGTACAGTTAGTTTTGAAGACATTGCTTTAATTGCTATCAATAAAATATTTAAACAATAACAATGATATGCTTCTACACTTTTGGAGCAACCGTTAAGGCTACAGTGACATGGTAGTGTGTCAAGTGATTGAGAATATACAGGTTTAATTGGTTGATTTCTTAAGTGTTCATAGCTTGAAGAGTGATTATTAAGCATATTGCATCTATTTGGAAAATTGAACATTTGAAGTCCTGTAGTACATTTTCCAAAATCACCAGCAGGATTTCTATGGCAATCTATTTCACTGTAATTCTGAAGATCATATTGATATGAAAGTGTCTTTGACTCTAAATTTTATGTTTACCCCCTTAATTTCAAAGAAATTTAGCTGTGCAATTTATGACAGATGAACTTACTATTTGCTGTAACTCATTTTTTTGTTCTTTAACATGATTAACAGAAGCTGTATCACTGAATATTGTATTTGGGGAGTTCATTATTACCTCTATTTTTCCTCCTATATATTGCAATTTTAATTGTACATCAAGGTATGAATTATTATATTCTATTTCAACATTATCACTTTGATCCTTTCTGTGCAGATGACAACGGTAATTTAAAATAGTACTATTGTTTTCAGAAGTTTTAAGGAACTTCTCAATATTATCAGTAGGAACTAATGGTTGCATATTAACTTCTGACTCAGCTATTATGTTATTTTTATATTTTAAATAGATAATTAAAAGTGGTTTTACTTGTAAGTATGATCTCAAAACTTTTAATGAGGTCCTTATCCTTATTACAATCTTTTCATTGAGAGCCCACAAATCTCCATATTCTTTTTTAGACTGATTGAAGTATACATCATTCTCTAATATTTTGCACCAAAAATATAAATTATTTTTCAAGTCTAAATAATATTTAGTTGGTAATAGTAAATCTATATTTGCTGCAGATATGGCTGTGATGTTGATCAAGAATAGTTCATGACAAGTATCTAAAGGACCCAACTGTATAAGACGTTCATTACGTAATAAAATTGGAGTTACTTTATC